CGACCTATCCAGGCTGTCGAAAATCCTGGGGGAACGTACGGTCGAGATCTTGGATTTTCCCTTGATGGGGGCATTCCTAAGGGACCTCTGGGACCTACATACGAAAGTATGGGTCCTGTTTGATTTGTGGTCAACGTTGGTACTGAACCAACGGAAGTTGAGATATTTTCTCCAAATGTGGTAATAACTGTTGTTCCAGTAGTATTTGGTGGAGGTATTTCTCCATGATTTGGCTCGTTAACCATGCTACTTTCGCTATTTTTCTTCCTAACAGTACACTCGTTGGTTATTCTACCACTTCTTAATAACATGCAACATTGTATATGTACAAAAGGAAAGCAATAACATGAACAAAATATGTGATAAAAATTAGCAATGTCCCATCAGGTGTGCCAATTTTTTTACCGTGGTTTTTGGTAAACAACCGCTGATCCTCCAAAAAGGAAAGTCCTTTTGGTTACTCGCAGGATCGATCAGATTGATCCCAGAATATATGCTAACTTTTATACTGGTTTGATGTAAAAATAGATATCTAGGAAGAACGCACGTTCGACCAAAGATAAGATGCTTGTGGTTTTGGAAAGTAAGAAAGTTAATAGAAATGCAGGTAAAGATGCAGGAAAAGTAACTTTGCAAAATAAGATCAAAGCAATGTAAAAAGACTTTATTAATGAAAAATGGTGTTTCCAACGTACATTTCTCAGTTTATCCTTTCACACACAACGGGTACTTGGACAATATTTGAGTAATTAGCACAATAGGTTGAACACCCGGAAAAACTACACAGACTTCCTATTTTATACTAAAATTGCGTAACCGTCGAGGGATGGCTTTGATCTAAGATGAAGACAAGTGTCCTCTGCATGTCCCTCGACCTCTATCTTTCAGCCACATCGCTTTCCTTTGACTGTTGGCGAAACCGTATTTCCCTCCAACAATTCAAATTCAAAATATCCTTCGTCTTTAGTGTCGACACGAAGGTATGTTCTTCTAGTCGAAGGTCATAGGACCTTCTCAGTCGAAATCTTGATGGTGATGCTTAGTCGAAGACCAATATGTAACTTAGATATTTTCTCTAAGTTTTTCCATCCGTCGAAACATTTTCCAGCTTGGCTTTATTTGTTCTATTTTTGGCCTATAAGACCAATATATAGTATGTGTCGAATTCAGGAGCCAATAATCGCACAACATCGCTTATGCAACTTTATTAACATCTTGCACCACCTTAATCAATAATCATCTTCATCTCTGCGTTTTTGCATAACCACATCAACATCAGAATGCAACACCAACAATCATACTCAGCGTGCAATAATAAATCATAATTTCTACCCTACAGAAGGTGTAGAAGAAGAGGAATTGGCGTAAAAGGAAGGGAAGTGTGATATTACCTGAAGATTGAAGCTCTAGGTTTATGTGTTCCTTATCAATTTCGAAGGGCCGCCGGATTTACTCGGGTAGGCAAGCTCCAATCCTCCTTATCTTTTCACCTCTTTGCGCCGAGCTTGTCACCATATCATGCATTTTGGCTTGCTGAATAATTCCCCTAACGTATCAATGTTCAACTCAACATTATTATCGTTTGATTGTGATTTAAAACTCCTAGGGTTTCGTTAGTTTTCCCTACATTTGAGGAGATTAGAAGTGGAATTGGAGAATGAATCAGAAACGAAAGGTACAGAGGCGAGGTCGTGACAGCCTGACCTTTCACACGATGGCGCTGTAATAGAAAAATGAGAAGAAGAAGAAGTCGAGTGGCGCCTATTTGCGAGAGAGAAGAGAAGCCCAAATGTCACCAACATATGACCCTATGCACATCAATACAACATTGTTTCTTCCTTCTTTCGTTATTCTTTTTTATTTTTCTTGTAAATATAGTAAATAAATCTGATAGAACTTTTGATGTTTTTTTTGGAAACTGTTTGGTTATTGGACCAGGCTATGCCCCCTCCCTAAAGCTCAATCGCTGGTTTTTTTTTGTTGTGTAGTAACTAAATTATCTCTAAAAAAATAGCTTATGGACTCAACCTGATGGGCCCTAGCGCCCAGACTGCTACAACACCCCCTGATTCAAATTTTCACCCTCTGACTCTTTCTAATTGTTTTAGTTTTTTCTTTTAGTTTAAATTTTCTTTTAAACTTTCTTAACAAAAATTTAGTGATAAAAAGACAAAAAAAATGTAGAGTTTAGGACTTTCTTTTAATTTTTTCTATATTTTTTTGTTATGATAAAAAAGTATAAAATCAATAAAAAATTTATTAGATATTTTTATATTATTTTTAGGAGTTGATTCTTGATTATCTGATTACCTGAGACTCGTGATTCGCTTTTGCTTTTTGAGATTTGAGTCTTATGCATGTTTATTGTGTGATATGCGAATATATTTGAGATTTTGATTATGATTTATTTCACATCGATTATGCTTCAACACTTATTCTGAGCATTTAATTTCAGACTCTTCTCTGTTGCTTGGTGAAGCTCACTCGAAGTTTTCTGGGTTTCTCTACTTTGCTTGTTGTGCTATAAACTTTTGTTCATTTGGTATCATTCTGATCCTGGTTTATCTTTTTCGCACTTTACTGCTTTCTAGATATCATGAGAAGTAGGGAATAAAGAGCGTTAGCTCGAAGTCGCTATTTAAAGACCTGTAACAAGCATTCTACACTTATTTGCTACTTGTGTTTGTGTTTGTGTTTGTGTTTACCTCCTTTGTTGACGATCGATGATCTCACTCAATTGAGAAAATGACTTCGATCTTTGCATGCTCCCCATAGGATTTCATGGCTTATTTCTTTTGACGATTGATGATGTCACAATTAGAATTGAGATAACGACTTTGATCTTTGCATGTTCCCCTTAGGATTTTATCGATTTCCTTTGTTAATGGTCGATGATGTCACTCAATTAGAATTGAGATAACGACTTTGACCGTTGCATGTTTCCTACAGGATAGTTATCTTCGCCCTTAGGTTTTAGGTATGCTAACTTAGGTAGGTATTTCCCTTGTGTGTGCTCTCTTGAGCTTGTTGATTACTTGCTTTCCACCCTTATGTACATGTTTTCTTAGGTTATAAACCTTTGGCATGTTCCATTAGGATCTCTCGATTCACTCTTTGGTGGTGCTTCGAGATAGACATAGGTTTAGGTTGTGAACCTTTAGCATGTTCTCTTAGGAGCTCTTGATTCACCCTTTGGTGGTGATTCGAGATAGACATAAGTTTAGGTTGTGAACCTTTTCTATGTTTCTTTAGGAGTTCTTGATTCATTCTTTGGTGGTGATTCGAGATAGACACTAGGATTATAATCCATGTATGCTAACGTAGGATAGATATTTCCCTTTCAAAACTCAACCTTAGGATCAATCATTGTATGATAACATTAGGGATTAGATTCTACCTAGTTTCCCTTATATGTTTTTCTTTCTTTTGCATCCTTGCATTAAGACTAAAACTCTTTTCTTGACAAATGCATAAAATATCTAACAACTTTCAAATCCCTTTTCAAGGTAAAAACATCAACCAATACAAACTCTTTTGCGCCTTCGGGCCCTTTTCTTTCAAACTTTTTAAAAGAGCATGTTAATTCACTTTTGTGCTAACGCACGAGTCTCCAGAGGTCGAGCTGCGACAAAAGGCGAAATTAGTATTGCTCATTAAAAAACACAAAATAAGCCGAAACATGTGAGCCGAACTACGACACTCTGATTCCTTAAAAGGGATACGTAGGCATCTAGTCACGGAGCTCACCCGAGCAAAACTTTGTAAATAATTCCTTCTTTTCCCAGTGTTTTCTTTTGCATACATTCCCTCTTTGCATTTTTCTCCTTAGCTCTTAAGTTGTAGATTTGAATACACCCTTTGATTAGAACAACAAGAGTGGATACCGTAGAGTACTACAAACGCGTGGGGTACTAATACCTTATCCTTGTGTAACATACTCCTTTACCCATTCTCTCAGTCATTTGATCTTGATTTCACTCTTCTCAGGTTTACTCGATGTTTACATTTCCCTTCCTGTGGGATAAAAAACGTTCGATGGCGACTTCATTGATTTATCTCGGTGATATTTCAAACCGGTTGTTTCATAGCTCTGAAGTCTGCGCCTCGTCAGTCCGAGCTTCAGCATCAATTCTATCAGTGGTCTGTCCCGCAATAGAACCATCTCTGCCTATGGTCCTCACTGCAAAATAAGAAAATATTAGGAAAATGTAAACTACTGGAAATTTCTAAATTTTTGATATTTAAAAAAAAAAATTTGAACTACCCGAAATTTCAAAAAATTTGATATTTTGTGACGTATCAGAAATTTCAAAATTTTCGATATAAATGATAAATGAAAATACCGGATATTTTAAAATTTCTGATAGAAAAATACAAGATATTTTAAAATTTTCGATATAAAATATCAAAAATTTCATAAATTTATCCTAAATTCTTACTTATTCGTGAAATTTCCGATATGACTTTTGAAATTTTCAATATCATCTAAAAATTTAAAAAATCTAATTAATCACGTAAATTGAAATTTGTATTAAATAATTTGAGTTCAAACAATTTCGTGTTTTCATGTCGATTGGGGACGCGGTATGTATATTTGTGATTGACAATATTTTTGGAGGCAATTGTGACATACTTTATCTACTTGTATTTAATTTAATTTTAATTTTTATGATTCCCTACTGATCTACATGTTTCATGTGGACTCCATTCACTTCGTTCATATTCTCAGTCAATTACACGAGAACTTAAACTCACATGTATCGCGTTCCACTGAATCAACCTACACTTCCTCACTCCCAACCAATCACATCTCAAATCAAACCCAAAACACACACAACTACAGCATTTTCTTCGGAGCCACACCAAATATATCATACAACCGCGACACACAGGATCACCAGACCGCTATAAACTAACGCGTTTCCCAGCTCATCGAACTCGGAGAAGACGAAACTCAGTGACTCGGGAAGTTAGAACTCAGAACTCACCAACTCGCTACAATGGCGTCGGTTCACAGCACCGTCTATCCGCAGAGCTTCTTACCTTCAATCTCCAAAGGAAAATCAAAACCGAAGGCGCAAAACTTTCCGGCGTCGAGATTCTCCGTAAATCCGAATTTCTCGAAGAAAAAACTGGCGGTGGTAGCGACGAAACTATCGGCGAAGGAGTTCGAAGTGATAGCGGTTCAGAGCGACGATGTAACGGATCAGCAAGAAGGTTTGATGGTGAGCCGTGTGGAGAATGATGGCGGAGATGGTGAATTAACGACGCAGGTGAATGGATTTGGAGCGAATGAGGGTTTGTTATCGTTGGAAGGGTTTCCTTCTTCTTCTGGTTTGGTTGGTAATGAGAATGAGGAGAGTATGGAGAAGCTTCTAGATAGGAGTATTAATGCTAGTATTGTTCTTGCTGCTGGTACTTTTGCTCTCACTAAGCTTCTTACCATTGATAGTGATTACTGGCATGTAAGAACAATTCAATCACGCTTATCTGCAATTTTTGTGTTGTTGTTTGCTTTAGATGATTATGTTTCTGGAAATGAATGAATTTGATTCTGCTGTGGAAAATTTGATACAAATTCTGCATTTTAAAGACTAAAAATGAACTCTGATACCATGTTAAGAAATGTGGTTGGGCCTAATTCAATTATACAAAACTGACTAGTAGGTGATGATTGTCTCTGCTTATAAGGACATGTTCAGGGCATATATCATCGGAGGTGAGACTTACAAAAAAAGTTTGTAGTTTTTCATCCACTTAAAAGAGCCCTTATAAGTTTATAGGAGATTATTCAAAAGTTAGATGATATAATTTGTGAAAAAGTTAAGATGCAGAAACTGGTTTCAAGAAGCTGAAGCATGACAAAGTTTATGATTTTTTTTTCAAAAGGGTTTTAGAAGTTTATTTGAATTTGATTTAAGTTGATTATTTAGGTGAAATAAGGTAATTTAAACATGTGCTAGTTGCTAATTTAGATTAGCTTTATTTGTTCATTGAAATTTGATTATTTTTATTGGTTGAGGTTTTGCTTATCTGCTATGGACTTGTGTTTTTGATGCTGTCTAGGGATGGACAATCTATGAGATAGTAAGATATGCACCTCAGCACAACTGGTCTGCTTATGAGGAAGCTCTTAAGACAAATCCAGTATTGGCGAAGATGGTGATCAGTGGGGTTGTTTATTCAGTAGGAGACTGGATTGCACAGGTGAGAGTTTCCGTGTATGTCATTTCATGTACAGCTAAGTTTCAATTAGTTGAATAGATAATCTTTTGATAATGCACTATGGCTTACGTCTCCTGATTGTTGCAGTGCTTTGAAGGAAAACCTCTTTTCGAGTTTGATCGTGCTCGGATGTTCAGATCAGGGCTTGTTGGTTTTGCTCTACATGGTTCTCTTTCTCATTATTATTATCAGTTTTGTGAGGTAGAGCATAGTAACAAACTAACAATGTTCTTTTCCTTGTTTTGCGTTGTACTTGAATTCTCTAGCTTATGCTGACATGTTAAGTGGATTCTCATTTATCCAGGAGCTATTTCCTTATAAAGAATGGTGGGTAGTTCCTGTCAAAGTTGCCTTCGATCAAACTGCATGGTCGGCCGTTTGGAATAGCATTTACTATACAGTTGTGGGGCTCCTGCGTTTTGATTCTCCAATCAATATTTTCAATGAATTGACGGCAACGTTTTTTCCCATGTTGACTGTAAGAGAACCTTCTGGCTCTTTCTATTTATCTGTTGAGTGGCAACAGTTCATGTTTTTCTTTGGGAACCAGTGGCGGTAACCATGATCTTGCAACTTCTTGCGATTAATGTTTGTCTAAATTTTCTTACACAGGCGGGATGGAAGCTGTGGCCATTTGCTCATCTAATTACTTATGGTGTAATACCAGTTGAGCAAAGACTTCTTTGGGTCGATATGATTGAGCTTATTTGGGTGACCATACTTTCAACGTAAGTTTATCTGGATTTATCTTGAATTGCTGCACTGAAAATTCCTTCATGTAGAAATTGTATTACGAATGGAAGAAGACCTAGAAGTGAATGTGAATAGTGTTTACCATATAGACACTTATGTATAAGCTATTTTCACACTCAAAGATAGAATGTGGTTAAATTATATGTACTAAGTTGTTTTCATAAGTTATCATGTGTAGCTTATTGAAAGAAGTTGAAAACAACTTACAAACATACTACAAGTGTTTATGTATAAATTAAAATAAACTTCACAGTCCTTTGAAAATCTCTGCAGTGATTCTAACATGGACTTCTGTACTTAATAGATATTCAAATGAAAAATCAGAAGCAAGAAGTTCTTCGATGCCAATAGAAGAGATATCCACTACATCTGAGGTACATGTTAAGCTAATACTAATTTATTGCACATTCTTGTTTGATAAGTTTGGTTAAAAAATATTCACACGGCTTCTGGATTTTCTTATATTCACCAGGAGTCATGAGAAGAGATATATGTTCAGAAGTAGTGGGAGGAAAGTGTCTTTGCTCAAAAAGATTGTTATAATGTAGAATATGGCTTCTGAATTTTCTTTTTTTGGTAAGCAATTAACTGTATGTGTATATGATGTTGCATCCCTCGGAAATTCATGTATGTTAGGTAGCATTATCAACTTTCTTGTAACCATTACACAATGGAATGTTGATAAAGTTTATTGATAGACAATATATGTATATAATAAACTTGCCTTCTTGCATGTATTAGAATGTAGTTGATATAGGATTCATTCTATCAAACAGGTCAACTTATATATAAAAACAGAGATGACTAGTCTAAATGATGGCTATACACTTCTCATAAATGATGACAATTTATCTAGTGGCTCACCTGGTCTATGCAATAGTTGCTCCTAAAAGCATCTATAATGGTAGTTGTTAGGAGCAAGGTTTTTCAAATTTAGATTTAAAATCTAAATTCTATAGATTTCACGTTTTTAAGTCAGTATTTCGTGTTGAATTGTAGGTGAAAATCTTTTTATGTAAAATTGTATTCTATGACGATTTTAAACGATTTAAATTACTCTGAAATCAGTGAAATCACGTATAATTGTGTAAAATCGTTGAATTTTACTCTTTGATCCGATTTTACCTTTTTTGTCAAATTTTAAAAAACACATTTTATATTCTGCCCCCATGAAAACTTCTCCCATGTTTCTTAATTCTATTCACTTTCATATCTTGGTTATAGTATTGAAAAACATTTATCGTCTAGATATAAATTTAATTAAATTGAATATGAATATATTAATGAAGATGATGTTGTAAATGAATTAAACTTTTGATTAAGTTAAAGATGAAGACGAAAACAATTGTTTCTTTGAACTTGAGAAATTTATGAAATTTTTATTTTTTGGGATAGTCTTTTGAATGTTATTTTTTATGATTTGATGGGTAATTTAAATAGTTTGATACAAGTTTGTGATTATTACACTTTATTATATATATTTTTTTATAATTAAGTTAAAAATTTAAATTTTGATACATTTATATATATATATATATATATATATATATATATATATATATATATATATATATATATATATATATATATATATATATATATATATATATATATATATATATATATATATATATATATATATATATATATATATATATATAATTCAAAGTACAAACTCGATTCTGACCACCTTAATCAGGAGACTTGTTAATTACAATTTTAATTTTATTTAACTGTTACCTTTTATATTACTCTAAAAAAATATCAATCATAAAGCAAAAAGTCCTAAAAAATAGGAACAACATGGCAAGCTTAACCCCAATATAAATGAATAATCAGGAACAAACACAAAAGATAAAGCAATTTCTCATTACACCTTTATATATTAGGACACACATTTGAAAATTCAAAAATATCTCTAAGTTTATTTGAAGATATATCTCTGAATATATCATTCAAAAAACAAGCAGTAAATTGGTTCGAATATGCATCTCTGAAATTATCTATGATAAATTCGAAGATGCATATCTGAAAACACACTTGAACCCATTTACTAAGTATAATTCATTAGAATTGATGCAGTTGTCAAGGACTTTCTGACGATTTAATCAATATTAAAGTCATAAGAATTGTATCCTTGGGTTCTGACCTATGCGTTCCTGTATTTCTGACTTTTATGCGATCTAATGTAAAAAATTCGGTTTTTTGAAAAAACTAATTCTGAGTCGAAATTTTACCGTGCCAATTCATTAAAAAAAAGATCAAAGTGAGATACGACTCTAAAAATTCTAAATTCCTTATTTTTTTATTTTTTTTGATTTATTTTTCGTTTTCATATTTTTGAAAAAATTTATAAACACTTAAATTGATTTTATTTGATTTTTAGTGGTATTTTCAGATTTTTATAATTTTACTTTAATTTTTTTTTTCAATTGTTTTCTTGACTAGGGAAATTGTTGATATTTACATATTTGTTGTATTGCTTATGCATGATTACCAAGTGTGTTTATCCGGATACATTCAATACTAAATTAAAAAAACACAACAAAGAACTTTTTCGGATATGCATATTCGACCATACCATTTTTCGTAAAAATAAAGTTTATTGAAAGATGCATATCTGAATATATCATTTTTTTTCTTCCGTAAAAGATAAGATTTATTTGGATATGGATATTCAAAATTAAGTTTTGTAGAAAAAATGTGTATTCAGAAATGTATCTTCGAAAACAGAAAACATTTTTGAAATTTTGTCGTCAGAAGCCTCAGAAAAAATATAAGAGTGCAATGGAAAATTGTCAAAAATAAACAACACTAGCAAAAAAAAAAAAGGAACCACCCGCTAACGAACAACCAAAATGAGAAAAAATGAAAAAGTTAGCTAGATCTTTGCATCAATAACCGCCATCAATAGAAATAAAAGAGTATTCATTCCTAATATCTCAGTTCAAAGATTCTCAATTTGCTATTGGTTCAAATATGGGGAAGGATTGACTGCTTTTGTGGCGCCAAAATTATGCTACTTTGAGTCTTTTTATCTCTATATAAATTTCTTTCTCATCTAAATTTTCATATTTTATGCATTTTCTCTTTCATCAAAATAGCTAAAATCAAGAATATCAAGTTCGATTTTTAAGTGAGAACAACGCTTGACCAATACACATACCTCTCGGCATGAGCTCTAGATTATTAGGATCTCTTTCTCCTAAAAACCAGAGTGTAAAAGAAAAAAAAAAAGAAAAAAAAAAAGCTAAAATCAACTAAAGTTACTATACCTTTAGTTCCATAAAGGCAGCTAACCCTTACCCCTCAAATATATAACAAGACTTTTAAGTCAGTCACTAGTAGGCCTCCGAACTACAAGATACAATTTTTAATAGTTGTACTTAAAAAACAATATCATTTTGGTGATTTCCAAATAGACTAAACAACCAAATATCAATTCATTATAGATGTCACTTTTGATCATATACACTCCACCCAACGAAATAAACACTTCAAAAAGGGATAGATGGATTTTGAAACATCATACCAAACCCTACCATAACATGTGTTTGATGGTGAACATTATCACATATAAGCAGCAAAGAATGGAGGCATATTTAAAATGAGAGTGGCATATGCGATGATGTTGAGGAGGACTACACAATTCTTCCCTTGCCAAACAACCCAACAATAGATCAAATAAAATATCATAAGGAAATGAGAACAAGAAAAGCAAAGGTAAGAGCTTCTTTGTATCACAATCATGGCCATCAAGTCAGCTTTTGAAATTTGGAATTTCCTCAAAAGTGAATATGAAGGAAATTAAAGAATTGTGGGAATGCAAGCACCAAGTTTGATTAGAGAAGATGCAAAAGATGAAGGAGTATGGAAAAATTGTAGAGTGTACAAATAAACTTATTAGCAGTGTTAACAAAGTTAGATTGTTTGGCTCTAAATTTTATGATTCTAAAATAGTTCAGAAAATAATACTTGTGTCTGTCCCTGAAATATTTGAAGCAATTATCACTACCTTGGAAAATACCAAATACTTTTCAAAACTTGTCTTGGAAGAACTTGTAAATGCTATGCATGCCCAAGAACAAAGAAGAGTGATAAGGCATAAGGTTCAGTGGAAGGAGCATTCCAAGTTAAATTAGAAATCAACAAAGGAGAAAATAGAATATAAAATAGATATAATAAGAATGTCAACAAACAAGACACAATTAATGGGAAAAAAAGACTTTCTTGCTTGCAAGCATTGTGGCAAGTTTGGTCACCCTCCTTTCAAATATTAGAGAAAACCTAACACTACAAAAAAAAATGCTCTTCAGCAACGTCAATTTGTGACGTGATTATCACGTGGTAAAAAAGTGAGGTTGTGACGTGATAATCACGTCACTACATATTTTTAATAGTAAAATATAGAAATTAACGTTAGTATATGGGGAGTCAGAGATTTTTTTTTATTTTTAAATTTGCGACGTGATATCCACGTCGCAACATATGAAATAAAATTTAAATTTCAAAAGCCTGTTACGTACACATGGTGAGAAGTTTGAAAATTTTCAAATTTCAGGTTGTGACGTGAATATCACGTCACAATTTTTTTAGAGGAAAAACAATCTGAGTTGAATTTGAATGGACGCAAGTGGATGCAGGTGTCATAATTAACTTTTATAATCGTTGGAGATTTGCGATGTGAAACTCACGTGACAAAGTTGTGACGTGATTTTCAAGTCGCTGATTGACTTATATAAATCCTTTCGTTTCTAAGAAACAACATTATCTCATATCTATTTATTTGTTTTCTTTTTCTTCCTTCTCAACATTCTCTCTGTTTCTCATTATCAACACCATTCCTCCATGTCTCAGTTTCTATTTCACTTTCAGTTACAAAGGTAATATTATTTCCTAATTTAACTTCAATTTTTTTTACAATTTCGTATAATATTTATACTATTTTGTGATTTTAATTTATGTTAAATTTTTTTCTTCAAAATATTGAATATAAGAAGATTGAAAAATATTGAAGAGGGTTGGAAAAAGATTGGACAAAAAGATTGAAGGAAATTGAAGAAGAGGTGTTTTTTGCAATTTTTTATTTTAAATTTGATATATTTTCTGGATTGTTGGTTGATTTTTAGGTTAAATTTGATAAAAAAAAATTTGTAAGAATTATTATTAGATTGATATTTTTATTTAAAACGAAATTTTAATATATATATATATATATATATATATATATATATATATATATATATATATATATATATATATATATATATATATATATATATATATATATATATATATATATATATATATATATATATATATATATATATATATATATATATATATATATATATATATATATATATATATATATATCAAAAGTCAAAATTGGTAATGGTAAATTTATTGCTATAAAATGAAAAAGGAACTATAGCCATTTAAATTTATACATGTACAAAGCTAATTTTATTGGAATTTGAT